TCTTAGAATACAAATCTTCCAGCTTCTTCCATGCCGTTGCTGCAGAAGTTTCTTCAGCAATTTTCTGAAGAACGCTATCTGTAACGCTCATGAAGATCGCACTCAAAGCTCTCTCCTTCAGGTCTTCCTTCTTTGTCTCTTTCATATCTTCAGGAAAATCAGCATCAATTGTTTTCCATAATCCTTGTAATACCAAGGACGATTTCATCCTAATCTTCCATAGACTGAAACTAGAACCTCCATCAAATTTCTCTACTTCGTACTTTGTTGAAGATGATGAAGACATCTTAAATCTAAATTATGTGTAGAAACTCGAACCTTGCTCTGATACCAATTGTTGCGGAATATCGTGGGTTAACTAGCACACAATCACACACAAAGCAAATAGAGAAGAAAAATCAACACAAGGATTTAACGAGGTTCGGCCAAGCCTAATCCTCGGGGCAAAAGCAGAGAGAGTTTTTCACTATGAATGAGAAAAGAAGCACAATACAATCTATAGAATCCCCAACTACAACCCCTATATATAGATCCCAAAAGGTCCCAAACATATATGAGAAAGGTTTCCCAATTTGACAAGGACTATAGGTTTTCCTTTTCCAAATCTATTAGGACAATAGGTTTTCCTAAACCTATAGGGACTATGGGTTTCCTAAAAATACAAGGAAATAATTCAAGCCACAAATAACATTGGTATTTGGAACTTGTTTGCTCGACTAATTCAGATTCGCACCGTGTAAAATCTATTAATGGGAACACACTTTCTCCTGAGAGCTTCTCCATTCTTCATGCTCGAACTTGAGATTTCTAATTAAGAGTAGAGGGATCACAACCATCCCTCCATATCCCATGGTGGTAACTTATCAATTGTTGTTAGTTGTTACTAATGCTTTTTGAACACAGAAAAAGATGTATTTTAAATTCTTTCTTTTACAGCTTAAAATAAAATACATGTTAAAAGTGGGAAAAGAAAATGAATTCTTATTCTAATGGTTAGATGAGATGTTACCATCAGTTTATCAATAATGACATGGGAAATAGTAGTTAAATTTTCTATTATGTTTTTTTATTGTGAATCATAACTAAAATGTCTTCCAGCTGGAATATATAAGTATTTTTTTTTCAAAAGTATTCTCCAATGTATTGATCACTCTGTTAATTTAAGTAACATAATTTAACTCAATACGAAATTTGAAGGAAAAAAAATAAAATTTTTTGAAATTTTTGGATTTAATCGTACCATAACATCTTTGTAATCTATAAAACTTCTCATTAAAATTAAAATAGAAAGCCTAAGTTAGGTTCTTAAATAGAAATGTGTCATTTTTTTAAAAACTAATAAAGAAAGCGTGTCCCACTGAAGCAGACGACATATTTGTTGCCACCCCCAATAAATTGATATCAGATTGTCTTCTTTCTGTGAACGAATCTTTAATACTAACCTAAGCAAAATAACTGAAAAGGTGAAAGATAACGACATAAACAAGCACCCCATTACTAGCCAATCATGGGACAAACAAGTGGGACAGTTGCACTCCCAAATATTTCTGCAAAAAATAGAAACTTTATTATTTCTGTGCAGAATTCAAAGAATACAGAGGAGAAGTGCCATAGAAGAAGAGGCTATAGATTTAAGTGTATTTTGCTTTGCTCTTAGCCTTTGTGATTCTGTGAAAGATGTCTAAGACTCCATTGAACCAACCCCTTCTCCCAAAAAATCATACTGATGACAAATTGGCTATTGATAATCCTAATACTGCCCACCAACTTAGTAATGGTCTCTTTCTCTTTTACTCTGTAATTCGTAAATTCTTGTTTCCAATTTCCATTCATCTTCTTGTTATTGTTAGATTATGTACAGCAAGTTTGAGCGCACCCACCTTCAAAATGTATATTCAATCTGTCCCATTTTATATGACACTCTCTCCTTTTTAGTCTATCCAAAAAGAATGAAACGGACCATTTTTATAAATATAGTATTATTATGTCCCATGTGATCAGATAGTTTAGTGTAGAATTACTAAAAGATTCTAGCTGCTGAATTGAACCATTTTCCTTGTAAAATAAGTTGATTTTGTTGGCAAAACATTGAATCTCTTACTAATATTGTTATCTACAATCCCATTAAGATGTGTACGAGGAGAAGAAAACGGAGACAAGAACAAGTACTCTATAATTTAATATTTGTACAGTATGATTCTTGCCTTAAATCATGTGCTGATTTCACCTGTTGGGGAGACTGCAGATTCATGGTTTCAGGTGGGAATTGTTTTGGGCACTGGTGTCAACAGTGCTTTTGCTCTCGGATATGCTGGAATAATTATGGTTCCTCTAGGTTGGATTGGCGGTGTGGTTGGTCTAATTTTATCATCAGCTATATCGCTATATGCTAGTACTCTTATCGCTAAGCTCCATGAATACGGGGGAAAGAGGCATATCAGATATAGAGATCTTGCAGGATTCGTATACGGTACGCATTGCTGAAAACTTATCAAATACATAGTCAAGTTTGCATTTCAATTGATTTTCTCCTTTGCGACTTATCTGGTTTTGATTCCATTGGTCTTAAAATGGGATTTTGGCTGCTGCAGGACCGACAGCCTATTCGCTTGTTTGGGCGTTACAGTATGCAAATCTGTTCTTGATAAATACTGGTTTTGTCATTTTGGGCGGACAGGCCTTGAAGGTAATTTGCTCTGTAACTTTCCTGGTCTAGAAGGGGAACCTTGGAGCAACGGTCAAAGTTGTCTCCGTTTGTTCGAGCCGTGGAATTAGCCACTGATGCTTGCACCAGGGTAGGCTGCTTACATAACAACCCCTTGGGGTGAGGTCCTTCTCCGGACCCTGCAGACCACGGAAAATGTGTTTTGTCAAGTATAAATGCAAGTTTCATTGCTTTGCTCTTCTTGCTTTATATGATATGAGCTTGAAGAAAGAAGTGAGGATTCATAGCGCCGACCTAAACTTGCTTAGGACTCAGGCGAAGTTGTTGTTGTATAGAAATTCTCACTTCTTTGATTTTATCTTTAAGCTTCATCGGCTTTCTGATGGGATGATTCCAATTACTTGATTGCAGGCTTTCCATATTCTCTTTAGGGATGACCATCAGATTAAACTACCATACTCCATTGCACTAGCTGGATTCGCCTGTGTCTTTTTTGCAATTGCTATACCCCATTTGTCAGCTTTAAGGGTTTGGCTTGGGTTTTCAACATTCTTCAGTCTAGTGTATGTTTGTATAGCATTTGTGTTGTCTCTTAAAGACGGTATGCCTCTGATTCCTTAATCTCTTGAGTCAAATGCATTACAATTTTCAATGCATGCACACATTGAAAATTATTCCTTTCTGCTGCATTTGTTTTCCTTTCTGTTGTACCTTGTTGTTGGAAAATAAAATTGATCACGTCTCAGCGTGTGTTCATACTTTCTAAATATCCTGAATTGCAGGTCTTGAGGCACCTCCTCGAGACTACAGCATTCCAGGAACCAAAAGTAGTAGGATTTGGGCAACAATTGGTGCTGCTGCAAATCTTGTTTTTGCATACAACACAGGAATGCTTCCAGAGATACAGGTAGCTGACCTAGAAATTGATAACTTTATTATGTATATGATCTTTTCGGTCAACAGCCTGTCTTATTATGAAGTCAAAAGTAGTGAATTACCTGACTTGAGTTGATAATTCAATTTTGTGTGATAGTGTGCTGACTGTCCGGAGGGAAGCCTTGGCATAGCTGGTAAAGCTTTTGTCATGTGACCAGGAGGTCACAGGTTCGAGCCATGGAAACAGCCTTTTACAGAAATACAGGGTAAGGCTGCGGACAATAGACCCTTGTGGTCCGGCCCTTCCTTAGACCCCATGCATAGCGGAAGCTTAGTACACCGGGCTGCCCTTTAGTGTGCTAACTGTTATAACCAACTACACGCTTTCAGTTCCCATTAAGTTATGAACGAAGGATGACAATTATAGATACTTTCTCTAGAGCATTGTAAAAGTCTTATAGTCGTTTCCTTACATACAGATACTTTTGAATTTGTTATCTCCATTGTTGTTAATTCTCACATCTCTTGTGTCTTTCTTATAGGCTACTGTAAGAGAACCTGTTGTCAAGAACATGATAAAAGCCCTTAACTTTCAGTTTACTTTAGGCATTGTTCCAATGCATGCTGTTACTTACATTGGATATTGGGCTTATGGATCCAATGCATCTTCCTATTTGCTGAACAATGTTTCCGGTCCAGTTTGGTTGAAGGGAATCGCTAACATTGCTGCTTTCTTGCAAGCTATCATCGCGTTGCATGTAATTATCACTCTGCTCTTATCTTAGCTCGTTCAACTGAACCTATTGCTCTCTGCTCGATCCATAAGTGCATATGCAAAAAATTTATGCTTGTCAGACCTCTCTATAACAACTTCTCTATAGGACAGTCATTCATTATATAAGCCAAGTTTTTCTAGGAACTGATTTTTATGTTATGTTATAATATATATCCTCTACAACAACATTTCATTATAGCAGCCAAAAAATATTAGAACAAACAAGGTTATCATAGGGAGGTTTGACTGTATGACAGTCTTGTTTGTTTCGAGGCTGTTATAGAGAAATTTGACTGTATATTTACAATCAAATCTCTCTATGACAGCCTCGTTTGTTTCAATATTTTTGGCTGCTCTAGTGAAGTTCTGTTATAGAAAACATATATTATAATATAACATAAAAATCGGTTCCAAGAAAAACTTGGCTTTTATAGTGAATGATTGTTATATAGAGATGCTGTTATAGAGAGGTATATACTAGACTCATTATGAACTTACCACTATAAATCTAGATTAGTGTTTGAGCATATACCTGCTATATCTCTACTTGTGTTTAGCATACTGAATGTTGATTCTATATATGATTCTAGATATTTGCGAGTCCGACGTACGAGTTCTTGGACACAAGATATGGAACTAAAGGGAGTGCACTGGCTATCAAAAACTTGGGATTCAGAATTATTGTTAGAGGTGGTTATATAGCCATTACAACTTTCCTCTCTGCTTTGTTACCTTTTCTGGGAGATTTCATGAGTCTAACTGGGGCTATTAGTGTATTTCCACTCACATTTATACTTCCAAATCATATGTACCTTGTTTCTAGGAGAAAAAAGTTGTCATTATTACAGAAGAGTTGGCATTGGCTTAATATTTGTTTCTTTAGTTTTATAGCAGTTGCTGCATTAGTAGCTGCATTGAAGCTTATTGCAGTTGACTCTAAAACTTACCATGTCTTTGCTGATTTATAATTTTATCTTTCAGCATTGAGGGGGTGATGTTCTCATCTTTTGGGATCGTTTTATGTAAATGTAAATTATTCAGATAGAATAACCTCTTCTGATTTTATCCTCAAAAAATTGTAAATATTTATATTGAGTACCATTATTTCACCTTGCAATTTAATTTAAGATTTCAAGTTTCAAGCAAGTAGTAATTGCAATCTTAAGTTTCTACCTTAGAAAAATATCCAATACAAATACAATTATAAAAGTCATCCAATTAAAATTTATTTTTCCTAAAGAATTTAAAACTTTTATAAAAGATTATCCAAATTTCACCTAAAACATTCAAGAAAGTAAAGCATACCACTGTAAACTATTCCTCAGTATAATTTGAACACTGGAGCTCTCTTTGTGAACTAGCCACTTTGATCATATGGACTAGACAAGTTGTCATGCTTGAGGACATGTGCAAAGACAAATTAAACGCAACAAATTGGAAGAATAAATCCTTTTACTTTTCCCATGTGTGACTCAAATTGACACAGTGGTAAGGCAAATGAAGCTATCATAGATGAGAATTGCAATTCTTTGTTGGACCATTAATGAAGGAAACAATTTTTATTTTTTTTGAAATTCTTCACAGCACAATATAAAAGAGATGTACATAATGTTAAAAACTGTGGAGGTAACAAGTACGACTAGTATAAAGTATAAACCATACGGAAGGTTGTATAATTAGCCAACTTTCCAAGTAATATAGATCCGAGTGGTGACTCTTTCATCCTAAAGGTACAAGATTCCAATCTCTTCCCTTCTGGAATTAAATTATACTGCCTATGTTCCAATTTATGTGGTTGTGTAGAAAGAAATTTAAAAAAGATTTTTTTTTTCCTGAAATTTTTCGTTTAAAATAAGCCATAGATATTTGTATGACCATGAATTATATCATTAATGGTAAAATGAGAATTTTAAAGTTAAATTATTTCTAAATAAGCCTTATATATTATATGACCATGCATGGGTTTTATACCTTTCACATGCAGACTTAAGATGATTCAACTCACTCTAGCACAATATGCTGGAGTTTTTTGTAGAAGAATTAAACAGCAATTGTACAACAATTACTTGACTGAAGATTAGTTGACTGTACTTAGCTGACCATGGTTAGTTAGTTAGTTAGTTAGTTAGTTAGTTACTAACAGTGTTAACTAACTTATGTTAGTGGGGTATTAGTTAGTTGATTTACAGTTGTCATTCATTAGATTAGAGATGTATATATACAGCCTTATAAGAATAGCACGTGGAGTAATGAAAATTGAAGCTCTGTTCTTCTTTGTTTTTGCTTCTTCTTAATTTCTTCATCTTCTCCGTTGGAGTGCATGTACAGACAGCTCAATTCACCAATTCATGAAGATTTAACATGGTATCAGAGCCCTAATTGAGTGAATCTAGGGATTTTTGAAGATCGAGAGCTTCCTCAGGTATTTGTTTGGTGAATTTTGAGCTTTTCTACCAGTTTTGTGCCCTAAATCCTATGGCGATAGATGATACTACTGCGCCAAAATGTGATTGTGATTGATCACAATCACTCTCTGTATTTGCATGCTTCTAATACTCCAAGCTCGCTTTCCATCAGAATGCTTCTGATCGGAATGGAGAATTACACTCTATGGCAACTGGCCATGGAAGTTTCTTTGCTCACCAGAAACAAACTAGGTTTTATTGAAGGAACAATTACAAGAGACACTTATGGACAGAATTTTGTTAATCACTGGGATCGTTGCAATGCTATAGTAAAATAATGGATAATGCATAATGTTAGCCGAGATTTGCTTAGTGGAGTGTTATTTCGTTCTAGTACTCATGCAATTTGGGAGGATCTGCGAAAGCATTTTGATAAGGTGACAACTTCTCGTATGTTCTATCTGTATAAGGCAATTTTCACATTAACACAGGGAACTTCTTCTATTTCTGTGTATGATTCTAAATTGAAGGACCTATAGGATGAGTATGACTCATTGATGCTGCCTCCTTCATGTGAATGTGCAAAATCTCAGGAGTATGCTAATCAATTGCAATATTAGCGCTTATTACAGTTTCTTATGGGGCTTAATGATGGATATAGTCAAGCACGCAGCCAAATTTTGATGAAATCTCATGTTCCTAATGTTAATCAAGCATATGCGATGTTGCTTCAAGATGAGAGTCAAAAACTGGTAGTAGGAGGGCACTGTGTGTTGACTGAAAACATGGAACCTACTGCCCTATTTACTACTAAGCAATATGGTTAGAAGCAAGGGAATAAGAATTATAATCTGGAATGTGAATACTGTCACACAAGAGGCCATTCCAAAGAGAATTCCTTCAAGTTAATGAAATGTGACTTTTACAACATGAAATGACATTTGATAGAAAACTGTTATAAAATCATAAGATATCCTTCTGATTTTAAGTAAAATAGGAGAGATGTTTTTTCGAGTGGAAATCTAGCATAATTAGATGGATATGCTGCTCCTACTCATCATCCAATTCCACTTATGACAGCACCAGTTTTTACACCTGAACAGTACTCTCAAATCCTCAATTTCTTGAATAAAACTTTAATTGGTGAACCTAGTGAAAACATGGCAGATATTTCTCTATCTGATTCTGATTCTAATCCTACTTGGATAGAAAACACAGGGGCTACTAATCATATGACAGGTAATGAACGGTTGTTGGTTAATGCTACTAAAGTAGGAAATTCAGCACAGGTTCAAATGCCTAATGGAGACTCTACTCAAATTACTCATGTAGGAAATTGCCACTTGACAGGAGGTGATTTCATTAAAGATGTTCTGTGTGTACCAGCATTTAAATTCAACATCTTATCAGTTTCAAAACTGACTAAAGCTTTGCAGTGCTTTGTTAGTTTCTATCCTGATTTCTTTATCTTCCATGACCTCTTCATTGGGAGGGTGAAGGGGATTGGTAAGAAAGAAGAGGAACTCTATATCTTGAGACCAAAGGACAATGCTGAAATCAAGGAGCAGATGAGGTCTTTGGCAGTAAGAGGGATCACAGATTCAGAGTTATGGCATAAGAGGATGAGTCATGTACCTATGGCAGTTTTAAAGAAGAATTTCTACTTTGAACAATAAGTGTAGCCTTACATTGGACCATTGTAGTATATGTCCATTGGCTAGGCAAGTTAGATTACCATTTCCTCATAGTAATAGTGTTGTTGCACCTTTTGAATTGATTCATATGGATGTTTGGGGGCCTTACAAAATTTCTACTTACAATGGCATGAACTACTTTCTTACTCTTGTGGATGATTTCTCTAAATGGACATGGGTTTTTATGATGCGTGTGAAGTCTGATGTCTCTACTTTGCTTAAATCTTTTATAGCCATGAATTTAAATCAATTTGTAAGGAAAATCAAGGCTTTTAGGTCTGACAATGGGTCAGAGTTTTTCAATAATATTTGTGGTGAGTTGTTCAAGTTACATGGGATAGTTCATCAAAATTCTTGCCCTTATTCTCCTCAACAAAATGGGGTTGTTGAGATGAGACATAGGTATACCCTTGAGACAGCTAGAACTATCAAATTTCAGGGCCATTTGCCATCCAAGTTCTTGGAATATTGTGTAGAAGTTGTTGTATATATAATTAATAGAGTGTCTTCCACTATTTTGGGGAACAAGTCTCCATTTTAAGTGTTATACAACAGGTGTCCTTCATTGTCTCACTTGCGGGTAATAGGGTGTCTTTGTTATGCAACGACACTACCTAAACAAGATAAATTCAGTCCTAGAGCTACTTATGTGCTACTTGGCTATGGAACTTTTCAGAAAGGTTACAAGCTATATAGCATTGAGCACAAGGCAGTCTTCATTAGCAGAGATGTTCTCTTTCATGAGAACATATTTCCCTTCTATTCACAGGCCATAGAACAAAACTTCTCTTTTCCAGTTATATCCATCCCCTCTGCTACACTAGAAGATCTTGTTCCCATTCCATCATATGTATCAAACCAGCCACAAGCAATAGATTCACCTGAAATAGAAGTCTTTGATATTGCAGAATCAACTCCCCTCACTGCAAATTTATCTCCTTCTACTTCTGTACCTATTCTCGATTCAGAGCTACCACCAGTTACTAATCTAGACACACCACATAGAAAATTTGGAAGGGTGTCTAAGCTACCTATTTGGTTGAAGGATTTTGTTGTCCCTGGCAAAGCTGCTGCTGCTTGTCTCTATCCATCGTCTAATGTTGTTAACTAGGATACTCTGACACCAAGGTATCAAAGTTTACTCACCAAGTTTTCTACTAATATTGAGCCTAAGAACTATGCATAAGCTGCCAAAGATCCTAGATGGATTGAGGCTATGCAAGCTGAATTACAAGTTTTGGAAGCTAATAACACCTATGAGGTGGTACCTTTGCCTAAAGGTAAAAAGGATATTGGTTGTAGGTGGGTGTATAAAATTAAGTATAAAGATACAAATGAGGTAGAAAGGTTCAAGGCAAGATTAGTAGCAAAGGGTTATAGTCGGCAAGAGGGCTTAGATTACCAAGAAACCTTTTCACCCGTAGTTAAAATGGTAACTGTTAGATGTGTTCTAGCTATTGCTGCAACCAAGCATTGGAAAATCCATCAAATGGACATCTATAATGCTTTTCTACATGGTTATTTGAATGAAGAAGTGTACATGACTTTACCCCAGGGTTTTCACAGTTCTAAGGGCTCTCAGCATGTTTGTAAGTTGTTTAAGTCTTTGTATGGACTTAAGCAAGCTTCTCGGCAGTGGAATCTAAAATTAACTTATGTTTTACTGTCATATAGATTTGTCCAAAGTCATTTGGATTATTCTCTGTTCACGAGATAGTCTCAGGCAACGTTTGTCATAGTGTTGGTTTATGTCGATGATCTCTTGATCACAAGTGATGACTCCACCATGATCCTCGAAACTAAGGCATGTTTGCAATCTAGTTTCAAGATCAAAGACCTTGGTGAGCTGAGGTACTTCCTTGGGATCGAATTTTCCATAAGCAAGGATGGCATTGTTATGCATCAGCGGAAGTATGCACTTGAACTGATATCAGATATGGGCTTGGCTGGAGCTAAGTGAGTTGGTGCTCCCTTGGAGTTTAATTTGAAGCTGACGTCTTCAGAGTTTGATGCATATGTTGGGGTGACTGATGATGATCTTCTTGATGATCCTAGTATATATCAGAGACTTTTAGGAGGGTTGTTATATTTGACTAACACACGCCCAGACATCAGCTTTGCAGTTCAATGTTTAAGCCAATTCATGCACTCACCTAAGGTCTCTCATATGGAAGTTGTTGTACGATTGGTTCGTTATATCAAACAGTCTCCTGGAGTTGGGATCTTTTTGTCTTCTGCTTTTTTTTCTTGTTTAGTTGCTTATTGTGATGCTGATTGGGCATCATGTCCAAATACCCGCAGGTCTGTTACAGGGTACTTCGTTAAATTTGGCAATTCTCTCCTTTCTTCGAAATCTAAGAAGCAAAAAACTATCTCTAGAAGTTCTGTCGAGGTAGAATATAGGAGCTTTTCCTCGATAGTTGCTGAGCTTGTGTGGTTGCTTGGATTGTTTAAAGAATTGCATATGAGTATTCAGTTACCTATCTCCTTATATTGTGACAGTAAATCGGCCATCCAAATTGCTGCAAATCCTGTTTTTTCATGAACGCACCAAGTGTTGATACCCAATTTTCCCTATGTATTTTATACCCAAAATATTTTTAAAATAGCATATATGTGCATATATAAGCACACCCAAGAGTTTTGGTATTTTTGTGATTTTTAAACCAATTTATTGCCTATTTTAATACCACAAAAATCCAAAATCATTCCCAAAATTATCATTTTTGATGAATAACTTATTTAATTCTCATATTTACACCAAAATATAATTAATATGATTTTTGCATATTTTTACAAATTTATTCGGAATTTCTAAAGCTTAATTGCATGAAATTGCAATTATGGCCTATTTTTTTAATTAACTGCGTTTTATAATTATAAAATTGTTCCAGATATTTTTAGATTAATGTTTATATATTATCAATTAGTGTTGTTCTTTCAATTTATTTTAAAATTATTTTTTAACTATGTTAATTAATTAAAAAAAGGAAAAATGGCTATTTAAAAGCTGGCCCATTTCCGTTTCAATTTTAGCCACAATTGAACCTCAATTTTGACCCCAACTCAGCCCAATTAGATGGCCCAATTTTTACCCAACCCAAACCCAATTAATCTAACCCGCCCGCTTCACATCTTTAAATCTTGGCCGTTGATTGTTTTAATCAACGGCCCTCGTTCTTTCTTTCCTTTTTTAATTCCGCCCCATCCCCTAACGCTAACCATTTCTCCAAAGTAGCCGCCCCCGAATTCTCTCATCCTCTCAAATGCTCTCTAACACTCGAAACCCTTGCCGCCTCTATCGTCGTCCCCGACTAGTTCTCACCGGAGTCCACGGCTTCTCAGGTCATGGACGGCCTGTGCTCTCTTCCCTTCACTCCCAAACCATGATTATTCAAGGTTCTTCGAGGATTCGATCTTCAACATGCTTGTTCAGGTCCTCCGCCGACCTGAGTTCCTTTGGTTTCTCCGGCCCCGTTCCGGCATGTTCGAGCTTTGACAAGGCTTAGCATGGCCCAGACTCGTTCAGAGACCAAACCATTCCAGGCCTTCTCGTCTCTAGGGTTTCCGAGAAACCCTAAAAAGCTTGATTTGAGGTTTTTCTTTCCTTATTTTCTTAGATCTGTAGCAGATCTATGCTCTATTCGATGTTTTAACGATTTCCCCTAATTTTCCCTATTTAAAATTAGTCTGTTCAAATTAGGGTTTTCAAAAAATCCTAAAACGATTCTTCTTCTTCTCCTTCTTTCTTTATGTGAATCTGTGTGTTCATGCCATGCTTTAGGGGTTTTCGTTTGTTTCTTATGATTTGTTGTTAATATGCATGTCTCTCTGCCTTTGTTCTATTACTACTTCTACTGATTTTTCTATAAGCATGTTTATACGTCTATCTTGCCTGTCCATTTACTATTTATGGTACTGAAAGTGTTTACTCTTACTGGATTTATTTGAGTTATTGAACTTACTTCTTTTACTACTTCCTAAACTTCTATGGCATCTCTTATCTCTTCTGAACTGGTTGAGTTTTAGTTTGCACTCTACTGCTTTCGATTGCTACGTATGTCTGTGTATTTCCTCAGGGAATTCTGAAAGAGTTCCCCAGGCTTGTTGAGTTTGCCTTCTCTTTTTGTGTGTCCTACTCGGACTGAAACCCTATTTGGGGATTTTGCGAGCTTTTGGTTCTAGGGTTCTACTCTAGAAACCCTAGGCTCTCAAATTTGTGTTGAGTTCATAGACTGAACTGAAACTTGCTTTCCTTTTTTACTTATGATTCTAAAACTGTTTATGCCAATCTTTCTTTCTTTCTTGATACTAGCATGCTTATATACGAGGGTTTTTTTTTTTGAATTGATACTATTAGCTTGTGATTGATTTCAATCTCCTTTTACTGAGGCTCGATTGATTTGCTACTGCTTTTTTACAACTTAGCCTCTTCCCTATTTTCCTGACTAAGTTCATTTAAAGCTTTTAAAACATTCCGGCTGTTTGATTACTTTGTTTCCTTATTCATTCAAAACCGTGTACTATAGTTTCTTACCTTAAATAGACTCTGTATGAACCTACCCTTTATTATGCTACTCTGAAAGGTTTTCATTATTTTCCTTTCCTTAATTACTCACTCTCGTTTGAAATCAAATCCCTTTGACTAAGGGAGATTTTATTTGATTGACTGAGATTTTATTTCCTTGCCTTCTTGTCTACTCGTTTTTGCACTATAAAAGCTCACAGCTCTCACAAGTTCTAACAGAATTTTTTTTTACACAAACACTCAAGATGACACAAGTTCAATACTTTCTCTACTACTGTTTTCTCTGCTTCTAATACTGAACACTTTGCTCTTCTTCTCTTTTACTGCCTGAAACATTCTTGAGTTCCTTTTGAACTCTCAAGTGTTTTTGCTGAAGACTTAAGTCTGTTCCTGCTGATTTTTGGCTGTCTGCTTACTCTGTTATTCTGCTATTTATTTACTTTGCAACTGGTATGTCACTCTTAATTTAAATAATTCTCCTCCACTATGTGTTTACTTCTTAGTCTGCTATGTTCTTCTTTACTATGTTTCTGCAACTTTGTGACTACTATTCTTATGTGAATTCCCTCTCCTTTTTCCTCTTTGTATGAGAGTATGGTTCTAGCCATGACAACACTCTGTTATTGCTGCCCATGACTTTGAACTAGGTTCTTTGAACCTCTTAACTCAAACCAATTCCCACTTCCCCTTTCCCCTTATGTGTGTTTTGAGCCTAAGACCTTG